GTCGTCGTCGTCGTCGTGGTCGTCGTCGTCGTCGTCGTCGTCGTGGTCGTCGTCGTGGTCGTGGTGGTCGTCGTCGTCGTCGTCGTCGTCGTCATCGTTGTCGTCGTCGTCGTCGTCGTAGTAGCCGCCGACGCCGTTTTCCGTCGTCCGTCATCGTCGTCGTCGTCGTCGTCGTCGTCGTCGGCGTCGGTGTCGGCCTCGGCGTAGGCGTCGGCAGCGATGTCGTCTTCGGGGTCATCCGATGTTGTCGTCTGTGGTCGTCGTCCGTGGTCATCGTCATCGTCGTCGCCTTGTCGTCGTCGTCGTGGTCCGTCGTCGTCGTGGTCGTCGTGGTCCGCCGTCGGTGTCTCGTCGTCGTCGCCGTCGTCGTCCGTCGTCGTCGTCGTCGTCGTCGCCCCAGTCGTCGCCGTCGTCGTCGTCGTCGTCGTCGTCGTCGTCGTCGTCGTCGTTTGTCGTCGTCGTCGTCGTCGTCGTTTGTCGTCGTCGTCGTCGTCCGTCGTCCGTCGTCTGTCGTCCGTCGTCCGTTGTCGTCGTCGTCGTGGTCGTCGTCGTCGTCATTGTTGTCCGTCATCGTCTTCGTCGTCGTCGCCGTCGTCGTTGCCGTCGCCGTCGTCCGTCGTCGTCGTCGTCATGCCGCCGTCGTCGTTCGTCGTCGTCGTCGTCGTTGTCGTCGTCCGTCGTCCGACATCGTCGTCGTCGTCGTCTTCGTCGTCGTCGTCGTTCGTCGTCGTCCACGTTCGTCTTTCTCGTAGTTGTGGTCGTCGGTCGTCGTCATCATTTTCCGCCGTCGTCGTCGTCGCCTTGTCGTCGACATTGTCGTCCGTTGTTGTCGTCGTCCGTGGTGGCCGTCGTCCGTGGTCGTCGATGTCGTCTTCCGTGGTCATTGTGTTCGTCGTCGTCGTTGTCGTCGTCGTTGATGTCGTCGTCATCATTTTCGTCGTTGTTGTCATCGTCGTGGTCGTCATCGTCGTCGACGTGGTGGTCGTCGACGTGGTCGTCATTGTCGTCGTCCAGCGTGGTGGTCGTCGTCCGTCGTCGTCATCGTCGTCGCGGTCCGTCGTCGTCGTCGTCGTTGTCCGCCGTCGTGGTCCGGTTTTGGCGCCGCAGTCGTTTGTCGTCGTCGTTTTTTTCGTCGTCCGGCGTCGTCGTCGTCGCCGTCGTCGTCGTCGTCGCCGTCGTCGTTGCCGTCTTCGAAGTCGTTGTCGTCGCGTCGTCGTCGTCGTCGTCGTAGTCAACGTCGTCGTCGTCGACGTCGTTGCAGTCAAAGTTCGTTGTGGTCGCAGTGGTTTGCCGTCGTCGTGGTCCACCCTCGCTGTCGACGCCGCCGCCGTCGTCGCCGTCGTCGTTGCCGCAGTCGTCGTTGTCGTCGTCGTCGTCGTCGTCTTCGTCGTTGCCGTCGTCCTCGTCGCCGCCGTCCTCGCCGTCGTCGTCGTCGCCGTTGTTGTCGACGTCGTCGTGGTCCGTGGTCGTCGTCGTCGGTGGCCGTCGTCGTCGTCGTCGTCGTCGTCGTCGTCGTCGTCGTCGTCGTCGTCGTCATCGTCGTCGTCCGCCGTCGTAGTCGTCGGGACCCGCCGTCGTCGTAGTCCGCCGTCGCCGTCGCCGTCGTCGTCCGTCGTCCTTGTCGTCATTGTCGTCGTCGTCCGTGGTTGTCGTCCGTGGTTGTCGTCCGTGGTTGTCGTGAGTGGTTATCGTCATCGTCGTCATCAGCACCGTTGTCGTCCGTGATTGTTGTCGTCGTCGTCGTCGTCGTCGTCGTCGGCGTCTGTGTTCGTCGTCCGCCGTCATTGTCTTCGTCGTCGTCGCCGAGGTCCGCCGTTGTCCGTCGTCGTCGTCGTTGTCGTTGTCGTCGTCGTTGTCATCATCGTCGTCGTCCGCCGTCGTAGTCGTCGGGGCCCGCCGTCGTCGTGGTCCGCCGCCGTCGTCGTTGTCGTCGTCGTCGTTGTCGTCGTGGTCGTCGTCGTCGTTGTCGTCGTCGTGGTCCGTCGTGGTCCGTCGTCGTCATCGTCACCGTCGTCATCGTCGCCGTCCTTGTCGTCGTCGTCGTCGTCTTCGTGGTCCGCGGTCGTCGTCGTCCGCCGTCGCCGTCGCCGCCGCCGTCGTCATCATCATCATCGTTGTCGTCGTCGTCGTGGTCCGTCATCGTCGTCGTCGTCCGTGGTCGTCGCCGTCGTCGTCCGTGGTCGTCGCCGCCGTCGTCGTCGTCGTCGTCGTCGTCGTCGTCGTCGCCGTCGTCGTCGTCGTCGTCGTCGTCGTCGTCGTCGTCATCGTGGTCCGTCATCGACGTCGTTGTCTGCCGTTGTCGTTGTCGTGTTTTGCTGTCGTCGTCATCGTCGTCGTCGTCGTCTGTTGGGTTTGTCCATCGCCGTCGCCGTCGTCGTGGTTCGCCTCCGTGTTCCGCCGTCGCCGTTGTTACCACCGCCGCCGTCGCCGCCGTTGCTGTCGTCGTCGTCGTCTTTGTCGCCGTCGTCCGTCGTCGTCGTCGTCGTCGTCGCCGCCGCCGCCGCCGTCGTCGTCGTCGTCGTCGTCGTCGTCGTCGTCGTCGTCGTCGTCGTCGTCGTCGTCGTCGTCGTCGTCGTCGTCGTCGTCGTCGTGGCCCGTCGTTATCGCCGTCGTCGCCGTCCGTGGCTGTCGTCGTTTGCGGTTTTGGTCGTCGTCCGTCGTCGTCGTCTTCCGTGGTTGTCGTCCATCGTCGTCGTCGTCGTCGTCGTCGTCGTCCGTCGTCGTCATTGTTTCCGTGTTAGGAGGAGGGAGAGGAGGAGGAGCTGGAGGAGGATGTGGAGGAGGAGGACGAAGAGGAGGAGGAGGCGGCGGAGGAGGAGGAGGAGGAGGAGGAGCAGGAACAGGAGGAGGAGAAGGAGGAGGAGGAGGAGGAGGAACAGGTAAAGGAGGATAATGATGGTGGGAGAGGGCGCGGGTTATTGAGGAGGGGGCGTAGGATGATGATGAGGAGGAGGAGGACGAGGAAGAGGAGGAGGAGGAGGAGGAGGAGGTGGATGACGACGAGGGCCAGGTTGTCCTATTTTGAAAACTATTCGACCTCGATTGGTGTTCTTGTCTATGTGTCTAACACGTGTGTGCGCGGCGCCAAGACGAGTGCCCGATTTTGAAATCCAGTCGCCCCCAATCCAGGCAGCCGTTGGTCCTTTCATTCTGCAATTTCGTTAACGGTGAGGAAGTCTTAGGCGAAACGCCCGACCCGCCCTATCAACATGTTTGGTGCTGTACGAGGGAGGAGTTGTTACATAGATGGAACATGGGGGTGAGAATGAGGATGAGGATGAAGATGATGATGATGATGCTGCTGCTGATGCTGATGCTGATGAGGAGGATGATGCCGATGATGATAATGCTGCTGATGAATTTGATGATGATGAAGGCGATTACGATGATGATGCTGCTGCTGATAATGATGATGACGAGGACGATGACGATGCTGCTTGTGATGGCGATGATGACGATTACTACTATGACAACGAGGATGCTGATGTATGATGATGATGATGCTGCTGATGCTGATTATGATGTTGATGGTGATTAGGATGATGCTGGTAATGATGCCGATGCCGATGATGATGCTGATAGTGATGATGTTGATGCTGTTGATGATGATGGTGAGAACTCAATGATGATGACGACGATGCTCATGCTGATGCTGTAAACCCCCCCGAAGGGGAAGAGGGGTTTTTTGGAAGAGGAAAAACGACATCGTTAGATTACCTACGCCCCGAGGGGGGATTTGAGAACCGAGCTGTCGCTCGAGACTTCCTCGCGATTCATGCAGGAGCGCTGGAGCAACCTGCCTGCTCGACCTGGCAGCCTGGGCCTTCTCTCCGGCCCTTTTGGTAGGATCTACCCGCCCGATTTGCCCGTCCGGTTCTGCTACGTGTTTTCCGTTCCTAGTCTGTGCTTTATCCTCTTCTTTCGCCCTTGTCTTTCCTTCCATCCGTCCTTTCTTCCCCTGCCTCACGGGCTGCGAGAAATACACGTTGCAGGTAAGACAGATGTACCCACAAGGGGGTTTTAGAGGGCGTGTATCGAGGGCTCGGGATATTCCTGTTGGGTGGCACGCGAGCAGATGAGAGCGAACAGTCTGAAGATGATTGATGTTGTTCTTGTCGTTGCTGCTGCTTTTGTTGTCGTTATTGCTGTTGTTGTAGTTGTTGTTTTTTGATTGATGCTGCTGTTGATGATGATGATGATGATGATGATGATGATGATGATTACGATGATGATGACGATGATGATCATGATGATGATGCTGATGCTGATTGATGATGGTGATGCTGATGCTGATGATGTTGATGATGCTAATGATGATGACAATGATGATGATGCTGCTGCTGATGATGATAATTGCGATGCTGATGCTGCTGATGATGCTTATGATTATGATGATGCTACTGATGATGATGGTATACTTCTGCTGCTGCTGATGATGATGCTGTGCTGCTGCTGATGCTGCTGCTGATGATGATGATGATGAGGATGGTGGTGATGATGATGATGCTGCTGATGCTGCTGCTGCTGCTGCTGATGATGAGGATGCTGATGATGATGCTGATGCTGATACTGATGATGATGATGATGATGCTGATGATTATGATGATGATGATGATGATGATGATGATGATGCTGATGATGACGATGATGACGATGCTGATCATTATGATGCTGCTGCTGCTGATGATGATGATGCTGATGATCTTGTTGATGATGATGATGATGCTGATGCTGCTGCTGCTGATGATGTGATCATGATGATGATGGTGATGATGATGCTGCTACTGCTGCTGATGATGATGCTGCTGCTGCTGCTGATGATGATGATGAGGAGGAGGAGGAGGAGGAGGAGGAGGGGGAGGGGAGGAGGAGGAGGAGGAGGAGAGGAGGAGGAGGAGGAGGAGGAGGAGGAGGAGGAGGAGGAGGAGGAGGAGGAGGAGGAGGAGGTTGAGGAGGAGAGGAGGAGGAGGAGGAGGATGAGGAGGAGGAGGACCCCTTTCGTAGCCTCTGGCTCGTGGGCGGCCTGCCCGGTGGCGCAGCCAGTCTTTTGTCTGCCGAGAGGGCCGAAGGGGCGCGCCCCCCGGCCGGCGCGCGCTGGCAGCCGGCCATGCTGGGGCCGCCGGGCCCGCAGGCGACGAGGCGCCGCCTGCTGTCCCTGGCCGCCCTGCTCGCGAGGGCCTCGCCGGGCCCGCCGCCTGGCCAGGCCGAGCCCCCCGGCCTGCTGGCGACCCTGGGCCGGCACCACGCGAAGTCCATCTACGCTCTGGCCTTCTCGCCTGGCGGCGGCCTGCTCGCCACCGGCTCGCGCGACAGGACCGTCGCCCTGTGGAACGCCTCGCGGGCCGTGCTGCCCGACTCGCGCGGGCGACCGCCGCGGCCGGCCCGGCGGCTCGAGGGGCACGCGGGCGGCGTCACGGCGGTTGGCTTCGTCGTCGCTGGCGGGGAGCTGCTGCTGGCCTCTGGCGGCGCTGGGGACGCGAACGGAACTGGCGGTGAGCTGCGGCTGTGGAGCGCTGGGTCGGGGGAGCTGCTACAGGTACTGGAGCACCCGAAGACGGTCTTCGGCGTGGCGGCGCCGCCCTGCGACCCGTCCGCGGAGTGGGCGGAGCTCGCCGCGGGCGCCCCTGGGCACGGTGCTGGCGCGGCAGGGCCGGACTGCGAGGTCGCGACGGCTTGCTGGGACGGCGTGGCGAGGATTTTCGACCTGCCGTCGGGCGTGCTGAAAGCCCGGCTCCCAGGGCACGAGGGCGGGCTGTACAGCGTGGCCTATTCCCCGCTGGACCCCTCGCTGATCGCGACCTCCTCCGCCGACCGCACGGTGCGCATCTGGGACCTGCGCGACCAGCGGCCTCTGTGGGTGCTCCGTCACAGGGACCACGTGACGTCCGTGGACTGGTCGCCCCGCGACCCCCTGACGTTGGCCACCGGAGGCTGGGACCGCCGCTTCAGACTGTGGGAGATTGGCAAGTCCGAGGCGGAGGCGTGCCGGCGGGCTGGTGGGCAGTGCTCGGACGCCCTGGCCGCGCGCTCGACCGGGCGGCACCCGCAGCTCGTGTGGCGGGTGGCCTTCGCGCCCAGCGGCGAGCTGGTGGCCGCCTGCCACGGCGCGGTCGGCCAGTCGCCGACGGTCGTGCTCTACAACGTGGACACGGGCCGCGTCGTGCGCCGCCTGGGCCGCCATAAGGACACCCCGCTGGTCGTGGGCTGGTCTCCCGACGGGCTGCTCCTGGCTTCTGCTGGCATGGACCAGAAGGTGCTGATCTACGACGGCCGCTCGCCCCTCGACGACATCCCGGGCGGCGATCCAGACGACGCGGAGGAGCAGCTGCTGTGGAGGGGGGACCTGGAGGAGCTCCGGACTGGCGTGCCCCAGATAGGGGGCCACATGCGAACCCTACCCCTACCCCACACGATTTCTGAGGTGGAGGGTGGGGTTCACTTCGCTCGGAACCTCCCGAACGAAGTGAACCCCACCCTCCCCCTCAGAACTCGTGGGGGGCAGGGGTAGGGTTCGCATGTGGCCCCCTACCAGAACTCGACGGGCAATGCGTCCGCTGCCGCGGCGCCCGCCGTGCCGCACCCGCTGAGCGGGAGGGTGGCGTGGCTGTGAGCATGGCTCCCGTCCGTCGGCGGATGCTCTTCACGTCGTCAACCCGAGCGACGTGAGAAAACGGGGCCGACTGCGCGGACACTGTCGCGCAGGCTGCCCGCGTAGGGTCGCGCGTCAGCGCTCTCGCTTCCACGCGGTGTTCCGCGCTGGCGGTCTGCGTACGTCACCACTTGACGTCGCTGTGTCCTCATTGGCCCCTTTGTTCCTTGTCGCTCGCATGGCAGAGGTGTTCCAGGGATCCCAGAACGGTGCAATGAGTGTGGCTTCGCTCTGCACGCGTTGCGCGGTGACCCATCATGGTCCTCCCGTCTGGGTGGCGCTCGCCCTGGTAACCGGGTCTCTGTCGGCTTCGGGGCCTGAGAGGCGCTCCCTCTCCACAATGGCGCACTGCGCGCGAGACTGGTTGCGCTGGCACGCCGCACCAAAGACTGCGTTGAAGAGAACATCGCTAGAAACACTGGACGTTCATGAGATCGGGTAGTTTCACGATGGGGAGCTCATGCGTCGGGGATGCCCCGCCGATCCCCCAGTCGTCCGGTTTAGGAGATGCCCAAACGGTCAATGTCTAGTCGGTGATGGACGCGGAGCGGGACCACCCAAGCCCCTTCATCAGCGGAAATCGGAGCTTCCCAGTTGTGGGTAAGAGTGGGTGGGCGCTGGGGGCAGGGGTCGCAGGAGGCTCGCGCAGGCGGGGGCACACATAGGGAGTAGGTGCTCACCAAGGCCGACGTCAGGAGTGTTGTCGGGTCGCGGGGCGGGTCGCGTGGCGTGCAGTGGGCGGGTCGCGGGCCAGCTGTGCGTGGACCGCGGGGCGGGTTGCCAGTGGGTCGCAGGGCGGGTCGCGTGGCAAAGACCGCAAGAAGAATACCGGCAATGGCTTTCGCGCCGGAGCTCCCTTTCAGCCACGAAATCAGGGACAGTGTAAGACAGCTCGGCCCCATCACTCTGATCGACAATGACATCTGGGTGGACATGTGACATGACCAGGGGGTCCCTGGAGCGATGTAGCGCTGATTCCAAGTCAATGCTTCCCCTGCTGAGCCAGTTCCCAACACATGTATCGTTCCCCCTCAGCGGCCCAGACATGCGATGTCTTCATTTTTGTCAATACACGGTCTCCCGAAGTTCCGACCCCTTTCCCATGCCGGTTTTTCATTCGGAGCCGTTTTTGAAAGGCCCCTGTGCCTGGCGAGGCCCCTCAGAGGCCGAACATGGCGAAAGACCGTCGCCTTGAGTTTTTGAAGATCTCGGAGGTCTGGGGGTAGTTTGTCCCATGGCCCCAAGGGGGTTGCTCAAGGTTCCCCTGCCCAAGGTACTTCCAGCTTTTCGCTCCATTTCGGAGCCCCTGGGGCCCTCCAGGCCTCGTGAGGGTCAGTCACGCGCAGAGGGAGGTATTGGGGGAAGGGGAAGGCTTCTTAGAAGCACCTGGCTTCTGAGAAGGCGCGCACTCTTTTGTAGATGTAGGGCCCGCGCCCTCCAAGAAGCAGCCTCCTTCTAGGAAGCCTTCCCCCCTCCCCTTACCCCTTACGGTCGGACCGAGGTATAAGGTCGAGGTCGGTTCGGGGAGGGCGCCCTGATGTTCTTCGTGTTTGTCGGATGCTCTTGTGCACCCTGGGGAGGAGGCTGCCCTCGAATGTCCTCTCTGTCTTGCCCCACGGAGGGCCTCCTGTCCTCGAGGGGTGTTCTTCTGGCCCAGGTCCGACTGCAGCCCCTTTTTCAGGAGCGGCAATAGGACGTACACGTACATGAATCCACGCTGGTTTCGAGAGTACGCATTGCGCAAATGTTCGTACAACGCGGCCGGTCTCGCGGATCGAGGGGCCGTGTTCATGTACATGGCTGGGCGCGTACGTCCTTTGTGGGCTCCCTAGTCTGTGCACATCTCGAAGAAGAAGAAACGCCATGAACGTAAACTTTTGGTGCTCCGCGCGGATTTCTTGGATCCGCGCTGGGGCCCCCCTGGCTGCGCCTCCGGCGCTGCCCCTGGCGCGCTCCGCGCGCCAGGGAGGGGACCAGCGCAGATCCAAGAAATCCATGCGGACCTCCAAAAGTTTAATGTTTATGGAATCTTTTCCTCCTCTATGAAGTCGGGCGTGTCCCTCTACAGCTGGAATATTCCAAACTAGTCAAAAATAGTACGGTGACGATTTCTTCACTACTTTTGAGAATCTTGACTTTTTGCTGACTATTTTTGTTTTTTCGCAAAATCCGCCTGTAGGGGGACATGCCCGATCTAACCAGATCGGACAAGAACGGGAAGAGCCGCTTTAGTCTAATGTGCGTATTTGGCGAAGAAGAATAGGAAGGCGAGGACAACGAGGAGTCGATGACGAGGGCGAAGTGGCGAACGTGAGGATAGCGAGGAGGAGCATGAGGACAACGAGGAGGAAGAGATGTAGGGGGACACGCCCGGTCTAATTCTCATATCCACCGATCCCTGGCCGGGCCCTTCCTGCGCCCAGGCGTGCCCACGCCCGCCGGGCCAAGCCGGGAGGGCGTGACGTGCACGCCGCTGCCGGGCCGAGGATGGGCCTGGCCAGGCAGGCCCCGATGGCCCATGCGACAATGGGCCCCTCGCTGTCAGGTGGGCGATCGTCGGAGTCCCACTTTTTTTCACCGTAGTTTTTTTTTATCACAGTTTTTTTATCACACTTGTTTTTTTATCACACTTGTTCTATAGCACACTTGTTCGGAGTTTTTGTTATAACACATCCTTTAATATCAAAATCACACTTGTTTTTGGATCACGCTTGTTCGGAGTTTTTTATCACACTTGTTCTCCCGCCTCGGCCTGGCTCCCCCCCCCCGAGGGTCCATTTGAGCGGCACAAGACAACGGGGTCGTCTGCGCCGACATTGGCGCGTGCGCTGCCCGCGCAAGCCACCCGCGTAAGCGCCCTCGTTGCCAATGTGACCTGCCGCGCGGGCGGCCCGCGCGAGCCGCCGCGTGAGGTCGCTACGTCATCTCGCGTAAGACCCGTTGTTGATCGTCGCTCATTTGACCATGGGCCCCCCGCTGTGGAATGGATGATCGGACCCCGTTGGCCGCCCGGACCCCCCTCGCCTCTGGCCGGGCGGCGGCGGGAGGGGGGCCGTCACCGCAGGGGTGCCGCCTCCCAGAAGGGAGGCGGCCCAGCCGCGCCCGCAGATCTCCGACGACACGTTCTGTTTTCTTCCATGTATGTATGCATGTAGGTATTTATGTGTGTATGTCTGCGTGCATGTATGCATGCATGGATGTATGTGTGCATGCATGCGTGCATGTCTGCATGTCTGCATGGCTGTATGCATGCATACATGCATGCATGGATGTATACATGTAATGCACGAATGTATGTACGCATATGTGTATGCATGTACGCACGTACGTATGTATGCATGTCTGTACCTGTATGTATGCATGCATGCAACTACACATGTATGCATATATGCCTGTACGCATGCCTGCATGTATGCATATATGCATGTACACATGCATGGCTGTATGTTTGTATTTATGTATACATGCATGCATGTATGCATGCATGTATGTATTTATGCCTGGATACATGAATGCATGCGTGCATGCATGTATGTAGGCATGCATGTATGTGTCTATGCATGTATGCATGCGCGTATCTATGCATGCATACATGCATGTATGTATACATGTATGCGTGCATACCTGTATGTATTCATGTATGCATGTATGTATGCATGCATGCATGCATGCATGCATGCATACATTTATAGGTGCATGTATGTATGCGTTTATGCATGCATGTATGTACGCATGCACGCACGCATGCACTATATGTGTATGCGTGTTTGTACGCATGTATGTATGTATGTACGCATATATGCACGCATAGTTGCATGCCTCCATATCTATGTATGCAAGGTTTATGTGTTTGTAATGCAGGTATGCATGCATGCATTCATGCAACTATATAGGTAATGTATGTATGCATGCATGCATGCATGTGTGTGTATTTACGTTTGTATGTATGTATTCATGCATGTATGTATGTATTTATGTATGTATGGATGGATTGATTGATGTATGTATGTATGTATGTGTTCATGTATGTATGTGTGTATGTATGCATGTATGTGTGCATGCATCCATACATTATTGCACGTATGTATGTATGTAGGTATGCAATCATGTACGTATGCATGTATGTAGGTATCTATACATGCCTGTCTGCCTGCCTGTCTGCCTGTTTGCCTGCCTGCCTGTATGTATGCATGCATGTATGTATGTGACATACCTCCGTCCGTCTGTACGTACGTTTGTGTATGTATGTATGCATGCGTGTATGTATGCACGCATGCATGTACGTATATGTATGCATGCTTGTATATATGTTGATATGTGTGTATGTATGTATGCATGCATGCATGTATGTATGCATCTATGTATGTATGCATGTATGTATGTATGTATGTATTTAAGTATGTATTTAAGTATGTATGTATGTATTTATGTCTGTACGTATAGACATATAGTTGTATGCATGTATGCATGCATGTATGTATGTATGCATGTATGTATGTATTTATGTATGTATGTATGTATGTGTGTGTATGTATGTATGTATGTCTGCCTGTCTGTCTGTCTCTCTGTCTGTCTGTCTGTCTGTCTGTCTGTCTGTATGTATGTATGTATGTATGTATGTATGTATGCATGTCTATATATGTGTGTGCATGTCTGTCTGCCTGTCTGTCTGTCTGTCTGTCTGTCTGTCTGTATATATGTATGTATGTGCGTACGTATGTCTTTCTGTCTGTATGTATGTATGTATGTATGTATGTATGAATGTCTGTCTGTCTGTCTGTCTGTCTGTCTGTATGTATGTATGTATGTATGTATGTATGTTCTTGGAACGGGCTTCCCGAGTAAAGCGAGAGGGACACGGCCATCGGTTTTCGGTTGAGCTTACATCTGTGCCGATGCCATCTATGCTCAAGTCGCTTGATGGATCTGGTCCAGGTCGGGGGGATCCTCGGGGAGCTGTCCCATCTTTCCCTCCACCTCAGTTCCGCGCTGCAATCGTGCCCTCCTTGCCCCTCGTGGCGCTGCCCCGACGCGGTGTGCGGCTCCCTGACGTGCGCGTCAGGGGTGCCGACGGAGGCGGTGGCCTGCCCAGCGGCGCCGCCGAGCAGCTGGTGGCCGCGGGCGGCCATCTTCGTGGCGGGGCTCGCCGCGGGGCAGCTGCTGTGCCGGCTGGCGCGCTGGCCACGGTCCACGGCGCCGCGCCCTGGCCCACGGGCCGCGCACGCGGCCTTGCTGGCGTCCGCGGAGGCGGCGGACACGGACGCGGCGGAGGGCCTCTCGGCTGCGGCGGCATGCTCTCCCGCGCCGAGCTTGGGAGTCTCGAGGACGGGGACCGCGTGCTGGTGCAGTGCCTGGACGACAGGTGCCTCCACGAGCGGTTGCTCAGCAGGCCGGTCGCGAGGACACGACCGATTAC